AAGCAATTTAAAGCATCACCCTGCTCGCTGAGGAGCTGAGGACAGAGGCTCCGCTGCCCAGTGCTGCGGGGCCAGGAGGAGGAAGGAGAGGGTCTTTGCCCACCGTGACCCCTGCCAATGCCAGCCCAGCTGCTGGGACAGCCACAGGGGTTGGACGGGGTCCGCACGCTGCCATGCCCCAGGTGTACAGCGGTCAGCCCATTGTCCAAGCACCACAGTGTGATGGGGATTTATTTGGGGAGGGGAAAATTAATCCCACCATGAGTGGAAGGCCCTGCAGGCTCTTTGCAGCTGATCATTTCTGCAGGCTGGGCGCTCATTTCCACAATGACTTTCCTTTTGCAACAGCGATCAGGAAAAAAGGCAGGGAGGGGGGAACACGGGCACAGGGACGTGATTATTTCTTTAGTAGCAATCCAAGCGGCTGGAGAGGAAGCTTCATCTTTCCTGGGCCATTTACCTTCAGCGCCCGAGCGCGAAGGCTGAGCCAGGCAGCTCTTTAGAGATGCTGGAGCTTGGCCAGGGCAGGCAGGGGGGGTGGGAGGCTTCAGCTGCTGGGGTCTCAGTGCGGCATTGCCCCACCGTTGGGCCACCGGCTGCCGGGACTTTGGCTCCCTGGGAGGAGGAGCTGTGGATGCAGGGAGGGAGGGCAAAAGTCATTAATCTAGGAGTGTTAATTGGCACGGGTGTGCTTAGCAGTGGGGCTGACGGGTACTTGGTTTAGGGCTGCTGTCGCAGAGGGAAGCGCCCACTTTGCCAGCTGCCTCAGTGTCCCAGCTCTGGCCACCCGCTCCCAGCCCTCCTGCCAGCACCTGGTAGAAAACTAGCAATTAAAAACAAGACGGGGGGGGGGGGGGAGAAAGCAATAAAGCAGGCCCCGGATTTCAGCCAGAACAACAGAGTAGGAAAGCAGGAATGGGTCTGGCCGGGAGGCACCCCTGGGTGCCCCCCCTCCCTAGCCACTGCTTCCCCCCCTTGGTGGGAGGCTGAGCCGCGCCACGCTCCAGGCTCCAGCCTTATTGAATCTCCCAGCTCAGGGTGCAAAGGGCACCACAGGGAAGAGTTATTAAAAAAAGGGAAATGAGTCGCTTGGAAACCTTCTTTCGGAATAACAGTGTGTGTTTGTTTGGCGATAGATTAGCTCAGCCATGCTGAGCACACAGCACCCGCTGCAACAACGGTCAGCTCGGGAGATCTGCGTGAACCCGGAGAGGGGGACTGCAGGAGCTGTTCCCCTGGCCCCTGCCGACTGGACACCATCCTGCCAGGGCTGGTCCCTGAAGCTCTGAGCACAGAGGGACCCCTGACCAAACGGGGGCTTGCAAGGCTGCACCATCCCCCAAACCCCATTTACCCTCCCCTGGCCCCAAATGGAGAATACATCTCTGAGCCATGAAACAGTTAAATTCTCCCCATTAATGGGAGCTGGGGGGGTGGGGGTGGGTGAATAGGGGTGTCCTTGCACCAAAAGGGATGGCAGCATCTGCTTAAGAGCAAAGCCATCTGTCAGCCAGCAACCCAGTAGACGTGTGACAGCTCTTGGGTGACAGCAAGGGAAAGGGAATGAGGCAGGGCGAGTTTCCCAGAGGCTGGCGTCCCACGCCACCAGTCTCCTGCTGGTACGGCCACCAGCACTGCAAGGCAGGATTTTCCTGGGAAGAGTTAATCCAGGAAAGAAAAACCTGCCAGCAACACACCAGGTGCTTCACAGACACACACTATCACACCTCCCGCCTGCCAGGAAGGAGGGAAACCGAGGCACGGTGCCAGGGAGGCACGTTCCTGCAAAGGCACCGGCAGGCAGTGGGGCCAGAGCAGGGGTGAGGAAAGACACCCCGTGCCCCAGTCCCCCTGCTGTGCCGAGCCACCGCACCCTGCTCTCCTTCCAGGCACCCCGGCTGCACCCACTTGCTCCAGGACCAGCATCATGCCTTCCCGCTCCCCCCCCACTCCGCTGGCTCTTGTTTGGCACCTGGTGTGGATCACACTGTCACCTGGGCACTGGGGACCGTGGGGCAAAGGCCAGCATCCACCTCCTGGGAAGGCCAGGAGGTTGCTGGCCAGGAACTGCCCTTCCTCTGCAAAATTACAGCTGCCCCTTTGAGCCCAAGGACGACTGTGGGAAGCGCCCAGGAGCTACGCCCAGCCTGCCCCAGCTGTGGGTCTCCCATTGCTCCCGGGTGCACTGGGGTGGGGGGGGGGATGGACAGGACCTAAACCAGTGGGAAGCAAGGCCAGCCCTACTCTGAGGGACCCCCAAGATTTAATGCTCAATGCACAGAAAAGAAAATCTAATGCATAAACATAAACCAGCAGCCTGAGAAAGGCTGAGGCAGGGAGATCACCTGCGGTGAGCACCCGGCAGCATCATTCCCACCTGCCCAGGTGCTGCCATCCCGAGCCCAGGCACAGGGAAGGGGAAGCAGCCACGAAGGGTGGGGAGCCCCAGGGAGGTGATCTGCACATACACAGCAGAGGCAGGCACCCGCTGGGCTGGGAGAGCTTGTCCATCCCAGCAGGGAGACAGACACCCGCGCACACACAAGCACACACCCAGCAGGGACAATCAGCAAACACACAGCGTGGCGGGGAGACACCCCGGGGGTTTGTCCTTCCTACAGCAGGAGCGCTCGCACAAACACACACCCTGGGGTGAATGCACCCGCTGTCTGCCAGGTGCTCACCCCGGGGGGAGGCAGCCACATCTGCCTCATCACCCATCGCTCCCACCACAGCCCCAGCCCCAGAGGGACGCGGCACTGGGGGGCTCAGGACCAATGCAGCAACTGGGGCTAGGGGGAGCCAGCAGGCCTGACCCCCACCCGACTGCCTCCAGTCCCCCAAGAGGGGCCGGGAAAGTTTCTCCCCAACAGGCCCAGAGGACTGAGGGGGCAGGAACAGCTTCATCTTCTTTTGACTGCAACCTGTCTGGGCGCGTGGCTGTGCAGACCCTGGCCCCTCCTGCAAACCGTCCCCATGGTGGGAAGCCCACAGACCACTGGCTGGCCCCACGCCGCATCTCCCGGGGTTATTCCCCATGCACGTGGCAGGACGCTCCTGCACCCACGTGCCCACCCAGTGCGCCAGGATGGGCCCGCTCCCCTCGGCTGTGAGCCCCCCACCTCACCCCCCCCCCGCCCTGCTGCTGCCTGTGCAGGCAGGGAGGGGGACAGGGGCAGCGCCCTGCTCCTGATTTCATCAAAACAAAACCATTTGTCTTGAAGCAGCTCCAGCACCGACAGATGCTCTGCGTTAGATGGACACGGGGGGGGGGGGGGGGTCATGCAGAGCCACCCCCACACACAGACATACACACACATCTATCCATCTATATACATACAGAGAGGAGCGTGCTGGAGAGAGACAAGTTGCAAGAGCCTTCGCCTGGGGGGTAGGGTTGTGCGGGGGGGCAGGAGGGGGGGGGGTGTCCCTGATGTGCATCCAATTCCCGAGAGGGAATTGACTCGTTTGATTTTATTCATGAAACACAGAAAGTAAAAATGGAGTGTCAGGAAATCAGATCTGCTGGGTGATGAGCCCAGCTCCCCCGGCAGGGTTCGGGGAGGGGGGGGGAAACACGACAAATCCCCCCATTCATGACCACCACAGATGCTGGTGCCAGATGCAGCTGTACCCCCAAACACAGCAGTTCCCACTGGGGGGGAAAAGCCTCGCAGGGCTCCAAGAGGAGGTGGCAGACGGGGGACACAGAGGGGTGAGTGGCCTTGGGAAGCATCTTATATCTGGGCCTGGGGGACATGACGGGGAGGGCTCTGCGGGTGGGGAGGGTGTCTCCGCATCTGCAGCCTCTCAGCCTCCACAAAACGTCAAAGGTGCAAGAACAGGCAAAGCCCCCCACCCGGCTCAGCAAGGCCAAGCCTGTCCCTGGGGCAAATGCCCAGTGCACCAAGCCCCTGGCTGAGGGGGCACCCCGGCAAGGTGGGGGGACGGAGCTGGCAGGGAGGTGGCCCCCCCCCCAGCAGAAGTGAAGGCCACGGCAGCGCTGGAGCTGAGCCCGCACCAAGTCAGGACAGAGATGAGGCATCACCTCTGCAGGTGGTTTCAGCCCTCACACCCTTGGCAGAGCCGGGGAAACCTCTGGTGCCCCAGCTCTGCTTGGGGTGCAGCAGGGCCCCCCCGCACTCCCCGGCACAGCCAGCGGGGGGGCTCCCACTGCCCCCGCCGCAGGTGCGCCGCAGGTGCGGGGTGCGGGACAAGTGCACCCCACGGCATGCAGGGGGCCCCGGACCCCCCCGCAGAGCCCCCCCTCCCCGTCGGACGCCCCGACCCGCCTACGCGTGGCAGCCCCCACACTCACGCGCGGCTCCGTCTCGCGCGTCTCGCTGCCCCCCCCCCCCCCCGCACCTGCCAGACGGCGCCTTCCGCGCTCTGCAACGGGAGGGGGAGCTGCTCGCAACCGGGGGGTGTACGAGCTCTGCCCCGGCGGCGGGACCCACCGCTGCTCCCCCCGCCCCACGGCCTCCAGCTACACCCCATGTCCGAGCGCGGTGCCCCGCACCCCCCGCGCAGAGTCCGGGACAGCTCCGAGCCCTCTGTAACTTGGGATGAGCAAGACCCCCCCGCTATGCAAGCCCTGCCCGGTGCCCCCCCGTGCTCTCCCATTCACCTCTCTGAAAACCTCCCCCCCCCCCCCCGTGATTGCACGACCCTCTCCCTCAGGATTGCACAAGCCCCCCCCGATCGTCCGCTATCTCTGTGACTGCCTGAGCCCCCCCGCGCGATTCCACGACACCTCCCCCCCCCCCCCCCCCAAACCGCACGTCTCCCCAGTAGCCACACGACCACCCCCACCCCCCCAATCAGCACCGCACGTCCCCCCGCAGAATGGGACGGACCCCCCGGAATTACACTACCCCGTCAGTAATTGCACGCCCACCCCCCGCTGGAACTGCAACCCCCCCAGGAACCGCGCACACCCCCCCGGCAACTTTGCCGCCCGCGGGCGGGGGCGGCCGGGGCGCGCCCGGTCCCCCCCGTACCTGCAGCAGCAGCCAGGGCCCGAGCAGGGGCAGGCGGCAGCGGAGCATCGCGGGGCTCCGCGGGGCTCCCGGGATGGAGGGAGCGCGGCAGGGCGGGCGGAGGAGGGAGGCGGCGGCGAGGGGAGGCAGGAAGAAAGTTGGAGACTTGCTGGGGCCGGGCGGCGCCTCCGCGGCGCCCCGCCAATCCCGGCCCGCCGCCCCCGCGGGGGGAGCACCGGGCAGCGGGCGGCGGGCACCGGGGTGCGGGCGGGGGCGGCTCCGGGGGGGGCGCCCCGGGGACCCTGCACCCGGCCCCCGCCCGCACCCCGGGGCGTCTCCGGGCCAGCCCTGTCCCCGGGGAGGGGCCAGAGCCGGGGCTGCCCCCCGCTCCCGGGAGACCCCAGCACCCCGGGACTCCGCGGACCCTGCCCTCCTCTCCCGGGAGAGCCCAGTGCCCTTAGGATGGCCCCGATCCTTCCCTCCTCTCCCGGGAGACCCCAGTACCCTTGGGATGCCCCCGGTCCTGCTCCCCTCTCCTGGGAGACCCCACTGCCCTTGGGATGCCGCTGGTCCTGCCCCCTTCTCCTGGGAGACCCCATCACCCCAGGATGCCCCCGGTTCTGCTCCTGTCTGGGGGGATGTGCTAGCACCTAGGGGGGACAATCCTGCCCATCTCCAGACTGCCCATCTGCACCTGGGGAGGGGAGACGGTCCCCTGCAGCTGCTGGGTCTCCCCCCGAGGCTCCATCAGGACCACCCTAACAGGAGGGTCTTTGGGGGGCGGCCCCCAGGCCCTGTGCACACACCAAGGGTGCCCACACACCCTGGAGCCTGCAAACACCCCCACCCACAGCACACACACCATGTCTCAGGTTGGACATGCAACCTGCGTCACCTACATGTACACACGTGTGCATGCACATGGACACACGTGTGCTCATCCCTCCAGCCCGGTGCTGGGCCCCTCTCAGAAGGGTCTGCCAGGTGCTCTCATACCCCCCGCAGCTCAGCAGGGATCCCGCCCCAACACTATCACTTTATTGTTATTACTATTATTCTTACTGTTATTACTATTATTATCTAGTCGCCTTCCCCAGGAAGCCGCTGGCAGGGGCTTTGGTATCAGCAGGGCTGGGGGCAAAGCACAGGATGGGGGGAGCATTGCAGAACCACACGTACGTGTGGAGACAGAATGAATAAAAGGTAAAGGAGAAACAAGCAACAGAAAGGGAGAGAGAGAGAAATGAAGGGAAACCGGGGAGAAAGGAAAGGGAACGGAGAGGGCAGCGCCAATGCGGAGAGGTGGGATCCAGAAGTCCTGGCACTGTGGGGCTGCGGCGCCCCAGCCAGCCCCATGCCAGCCCCATACAATCCTCACAGCAGCCCCACAGCGGCTCCGAGCAGCGCGGTACCCGCCTGTGCCGGCACCCAGCCGCAGCACCGCCCAGGCAGGGGCACCCCGCACCTCGTGCTCGGCGTCTGCAGCTGGGGAGCAGGGGGAGCCCCCCCTGCAGGGACAGTCTCTTCAACCCGTCTCTTGCTGCTGCCACAGTGCCAGCAATACCGGCCGGTGCGAAAGCCGCTGCCAGCCCCACGGACCACGCTCCCGCTCCTCCTCTGCTCTCCGCTTCCCACGCTGGCAGGAGCCCCGCACCCCTCTCGTTGCCCAGCCAGGACCTCACAACAAACCCCCCCAGGGACCCAAGCGCTGGCTCCCCGCCCCCATGCTGCATTTACCCCGTTTGCCCCAGGGCTGCGGGAGGGATGGGGCAGATGACCTCTGGCTGGGGGGGCTGTGCGGGGCCATCCTTGCCGGCATGGCCGTGAGCCCTCCGGAGCCGCTCCCCCTGTGTCAATCGCACCACATCGCCAGAGCAAACTCCCGGGAGGGGTCTCGGGGTCCCCGATGGTCTCACCAGGGAGCAAAGGGACTCCAGGGTCGGCGAGAGGTCCACGGAGCCCTAGGAAGACCCCTCCCACACAATTAAGAAGCCACTGGCCTAAGATCTGGGACAGCAGAGGCATGGTGAGAGGAAACAAGTAAGGGTTTCAAAAAATAAAACGATTGAAGGAAAAATAGAAAAAAGAGGGGGGGGGGGGGGGAGAGAGGGGAGAGGGAGAAAAAAACCTCTAGAGGAGATATAAGAAACCGATAAGTGAACAAAGAGCCGGTATTGAAATAGATCTGAGGGCCGCGCCGTGCTCGGGCCGCGCCGGATCCCTTTGCAGAGGGGTTTGGGGCTTTTCAAAGGCGGCAGCCGCGTCCTCGGCTCGGCACCCGCGGGGGGCCGGGGGGGGCTGCTGCCGCGGGCGATGCCGGCAGGGAGGGTGCGGAGGGCAGACCCGCAGGCGGGGGGGGTGTCGCGGGGCCCCCCCGGGCTCCCTCCCAACCCGCGCTCGGCTCTGCTACCGCGGCCCGGGCACACGGCAGGGCCGGGGAGGGTGCGGCTGCCGGCCCGAGCACCGGCCAGCGCTCGCCCAGCGCTCGCCCGTCGGGGGGACGCGAGCCCCTGGCCGGCCGGCCCTGCCCTGCAGCCGCTGCCGCCGTCCGGGGGGACGGGTGGTCTCTCCCGAGTCCCCCCGCCCTCGGCAGCCGGTGCCGCCCCGGCCATCGCTGCCGGCCGCGGCCCAGCGCCCGGTGCCCGGGACCGCGCGGGGGGAGCGCGGCCGGGCCGAGGAACGGCGGGGCGGGGGCAGATGGGCGGTCACCGGGGAGGGGACACACGTCGGAGCGGCGACCGCCAGCCGCCCAACCCCCCCCGCCCCCGCTCATCCGGGGCGCGGCCCCCCCGGCGGGAGGCTGTGCGGGACGGGGCGCTCCCGCTCCCCCCTCCCCGCCCCTCCCCGCCCCACTCGCCGATTTAGGGGCACCCGGGGGCGCGCGGGCGGCCCCCCCGGTCCGTTCGCGAGGGCGGCGGCGCCACCTGGCGGCTGCTCCCGGCACCGCGCGCGCCGCCGGTGTCCAGTGCCCTGCGCTCGGTGACCGGTCAGTGTCTGGTGCCCGGTGCCCGGGGCTGGTGCTCAGTGCCCGGTCAGTGCCCGGGGCTGGTGCTCAGTGCCCGGTGCCCAGTGCCCGGTCAGTGCCCGGTGCCCGGGGCTGGTGCTCAGTGCCCGGTCAGTGCCCGGGGCTGGTGCTCAGTGCCCGGTGCCCAGTGCCCGGTCAGTGCCCGGTGCCCGGGGCTGGTGCTCAGTGCCCGGTGCCCAGTGCCCGGCCAGTGCCCGGTGCCCGGGGCTGGTGCTCAGTGCCCGGTGCTCAGTGCCCGGGGCTGGTGCTCAGTGCCCGGTGCCCAGTGCCCGGTCAGTGCCCGGTGCCCGGGGCTGGTGCTCAGTGCCCGGTGCTCAGTGCCCGGTCAGTGCCCGGTGCCCGGGGCTGGTGCTCAGTGCCCGGTGCTCAGTGCCCGGTCAGTGCCCGGTGCCCGGGGCTGGTGCTCAGTGCCCGGTGCTCAGTGCCCGGTCAGTGCCCGGTGCCCGGGGCTGGTGCTCAGTGCCCGGTGCTCAGTGCCCGGTCAGTGCCCGGTGCCCGGGGCTGGTGCTCAGTGCCCGGTGCTCAGTGCCCGGTCAGTGCCCGGGGCTGGTGCTCAGTGCCCGGTGCCCAGTGCCCGGTCAGTGCCCGGTGCCCGGGGCTGGTGCTCAGTGCCCGGTGCTCAGTGCCTGGTCAGTGCCCGGGGCTGGTGCTCAGTGCCCGGTGCTCAGAGCCCTGTCAGTGCCCGGTGCCCGGGGCTGGTGCTCAGTGCCCGGTGCTCAGTGCCCGGTCAGTGCCCCGTGCCCGGGGCTGGTGCTCAGTGCCCGGTGCTCAGTGCCCGGTCAGTGCCCGGTGCCCGGGGCTGGTGCTCAGTGCCCGGTGCTCAGTGCCCGGTCAGTGCCCGGTGCCCGGGGCTGGTGCTCAGTGCCCGGTGCTCAGTGCCCGGTCAGTGCCCGGTGCCCGGGGCTGGTGCTCAGTGCCCGGTGCTCAGTGCCCGGTCAGTGCCCGGGGCTGGTGCTCAGTGCCCGGTGCTCAGTGCCCAGTCAGTGCCCGGTGCCCGGGGCTGGTGCTCAGTGCCCGGTGCTCAGTGCTCGCTCAGTGCCTGGTGCCCGGGGCTGGTGCTCAGTGCCCGGTGCTCAGTGCCCGGTCAGTGCCCGGTGCCCGGGGCTGGTGCTCAGTGCCCGGTGCTCAGTGCCCGGTCAGTGCCCGGGGCTGGTGCTCAGTGCCCTGTCAGTGCCCGGTGCCCGGGGCTGGTGCTCAGTGCCCGGTGCTCAGTGCCCGGTCAGTGCCCGGTGCCCGGGGCTGGTGCTCAGTGCCCGGTGCTCAGTGCCCGGTCAGTGCCCGGTGCCCGGGGCTGGTGCTCAGTGCCCGGTGCTCAGTGCCCGGTCAGTGCCCGGTGCCCGGGGCTGGTGCTCAGTGCCCGGTGCTCAGTGCCCGGTCAGTGCCCGGGGCTGGTGCTCAGTGCCCGGTGCTCAGTGCCCAGTCAGTGCCCGGTGCCCGGGGCTGGTGCTCAGTGCCCGGTGCTCAGTGCTCGCTCAGTGCCCGGTGCCCGGGGCTGGTGCTCAGTGCCCGGTGCTCAGTGCCCGGTCAGTGCCCGGGGCTGGTGCTCAGTGCCCTGTCAGTGCCCGGTGCCCGGGGCTGGTGCTCAGTGCCCGGTGCTCAGTGCTCACTCAGTGCCCGGTGCCCGGGGCTGGTGCTCAGTGCCCGGTGCTCAGTGCCCAGTCAGTGCCCAGTGCCTGGGGCTGGTGCTCAGTGCCTGGTGCTCAGTGCCCGGTCAGTGCCCGGGGCTGGTGCTCAGTGCCTGGTGCTCAGTGCCCGGTCAGTGCCCGGGGCTGGTGCTCAGTGCCCGGTGCTCAGTGCCCGGTCAGTGTCCGGGGCTGGTGCTCAGTGCCCGGTGCTCAGTGCCCGGTCAGTGCCCGGTGCCCAGGGCTGGTGCTCAGTGCCCGGTGCTCAGTGCTCGCTCAGTGCCCGGTGCCCGGGGCTGGTGCTCAGTGCCCGGTGCTCAGTGCCCGGTCAGTGCCCGGGGCTGGTGCTCAGTGCCCTGTCAGTGCCCGGTGCCCGGGGCTGGTGCTCAGTGCCCGGTGCTCAGTGCTCACTCAGTGCCCGGTGCCCGGGGCTGGTGCTCAGTGCCCGGTGCTCAGTGCCCGGTGCCCGGGGCTGGTGCTCAGTGCCC